GGGAAGGCCACTCCAGCCCAACCAGTGGGCCGCAGGCGCAGGCTGCTCCCCAAGTACCAGTTAACCATTCTGTGATGCCCAGTTGGTGGACTGCGGGTGAGGGGCTGCTCCTCAGTCCCAGTTAATCATTAGCATCCCTAGACATGACTATGTCTTTATGTGAAACAGTCTTTGGGCAGAACAGATGTGAAAGTGAGATTGGTTTGATATGGGGAACAGTTGTGGCTGAGATCTGGTGCTGTTTCATCTGAACCTTCAAGATTTGGATCCATGCTAACTTGCACCTTAGTCCTTTCCAGTAGCCGCTTATTTTTTGTCCTTTATGAAGCCGTAATTCAGGGGTTCCCAACCTGGGGTACACGTACCCCCAAGGTGTATGAGAAGCTTGTCAAGCAGGTACAGGGAATATTTGGTAAATAATTAGATTATCCTAATTGAAATATTTCAAAAGTGGTAGTGGTAGTGAAAAAAGTTGCGGATTCTGGAGTCTAGAATTTATTTCCTTTCATATTGAATAGGGGGTATGGGAAGATTTACTAAAAGCTAAGGGGGTAGGGGGACCGAAAAAGGTTGGGAATCCCTGCCCTAGTTATTCTGTGAGGTACTTATAGGTGCACGCACAAATAAGTCACATGGGGAGTGGGGGGGGGGGTATGATCAATGCCTTATTGGTAGGAACATATCCTTTTCTTGTCCCCACAGCTTTTATCCTGGTCTCATTCAGATAGAAGGAGCTTACTGTGGCTAACTAGGCAGGCATCAGAGCTGAGACCAGTTTCAGTTAGACTGGTCAGAAACTGGTATTGGCTCCCTGGTCTAGGAAGACAGGCTCACAGCCTCTCCCCAACCCTAGCCCTGCCTGTTGCTCTTTCAATAAGATTTGTAGCAGAACCTCTTTGTTTTTTGAAGGATCGCTTTGGAGGCCCCAGAGATTTGTTGAGAGAGTTGTGAAAGGTGTTAAATGCCTCAGATGTCCTGAGCGCATGCCTTGTCCAGCTGAGAAGCTGTACTTACAATTAACAGATGCTTCTCTCTCCTAAGGATGGTGGGAAAAATCTGGAGGAAATCCTGATTTCTACTCCTCAGACTCCAGCCCATGGAGCCCTGGCAAAGCTTCGGACAGAGGTAATACCCTTTTCCTCTATTCCCCACTGCACGCACCTCTGGCAAAAACAGCATCAGAATTGGGCACAGCACCCCAGAGTGAGTCTGCTCCTTGCCGGCTGCATCCAACAGCATCATGAGGCATGGTACCAAAACCTGTTTCTAATCAGGCAGCATCTTCAGGCTCTTATTTGCCTATGAATTGCTGGTTGAAATGCACCTTAGCAAAGACAGTCAGAGAGACCCAAAAGCTTTAGAACCCTCCAGGGATCTGGGCAGCAAATAGTCCATGAGTACAGACCAAGCGACTAGTACTACTTGGCTGACAGCTGCTGCAGTCAGATGTTCTGCTAGGAGCTCCTTACATGCTAATCATCCCTGCGACAAGGGCATTTTGTGGCAGCTGGAGGCTAATGGACCATTTGTGTTCTCTTCGGGGCACAGCATTGTCCATCCACCCCACAGAATGATAGTACTTTGGGGTCCTTCTGGCAGATCTGAAGTGTCAGAGACCTGGATTCAAACTTTTCTCACAGTTCAGAGGTTGTTGTGGAGCAGGGATTTCTGGCCTGGGCTATCTCCATTGACCAGCATAGAAATGAGTTGGAAAATACAGACTAATGGGTCATCTCGCCTGTCCCCTGGCAGGAGGGAGCATAGGATTGTTTCCTCCAGTGCTTAGTCCAGTTCTGACCCCAGCTAGGAACTGTCAGTTGTGGAATCATTTCCCCAGGGAGTAATCCTGGTTGGTGTCCAGGTGCAGTTGCAATCCCTATAAGGCTTATTGGAGCATTTGAGCCATGATGGGCCAGCAAACGGTTTGGTGCTAATGCCTTACTCAAGGTACGTCTACGCTACAGAGACTACGGAATCATAACTACAGCCCCATAGCTATACTGGCATAACCCTATAGTACTAATGCAGCTTTACACTGTCGGAATCCACCAGTGTAGGAGTGCGGTCTTCCTGGATGATGGTACAAGCTCTGTTTGTCAATGTAGCATCATCTATTCCAGGGTTAGATTCAGCATCCCTGGATTTTTCACACTCTTGACTAACGTAGGTATGTCCGCCTAACTTCTAAGTGCAGACCAGGCCTCAGATATGGGTAGGCTTGGCAGAATTTGATCTCTCTCTGTCTGTTAATAAATCTGACTCATAATAGCAATGTTGATTATTTTAAAGCATTTTTTTTAGACTTTCATCTGTTTAAATTCCCAAAGCTGTGGAGAAATTCCTGAAAGAGGGGGTTTGTACAGCTATTTAATGACCCTAGACATTGAGATTTGAAAAGTTAAAGCTTTATAAGATAATGCACATTGTCAACATCTCATGTCAAGACATAGAAAATAAATATTCTTAAATCAACAAATCGTACCTGTGTTTTACTGTTCATTTGCTAGTCAGTTTGTAACCAACTTAATTCCAAGCCAGAATCCAAGGATTCAGCCAAGTTATTGGGCAGCATGTTCTCTTTGCCTATCTATACTTTTGATTCTTACTGGTCGAAATATTTTTGGGTTGGCTTTGTGCATGTTCTGTGAAATTGACATGTTAAGGATTTAATACCAAGCCCAAATCAAAAGGTAGGGGTATTTTAAAATGCTTGTGAGTCGCATTGATTCAGTGGAGAGGTCAGCTCGCCTTCTCCTAATGCACCACTTCGAGCGAAGGCTCTATCTCTGCATGGCCAAAGAGATGCTAGTACAAGATACATTTTAATTTGATTTTGAATATAGTGACCATGTCCATCCTGTGACTCCAGGAATTGCCGAGTTCCCAGCAGCCAATAGAAGAGGACTTTGGAAAAGGTCCCTGGATTGCCATGAAAAGGGAGCTGCGGCTGGATGAGAGAGACCCCTCCTGTTTCCTCAGAACGTACAGCGTGGCCATGGTGCTGCGGAAGGTAAGGAGGGGCCTGTGCGGAGTGTGAAAGCTACTTCCCGGAAAGATGAGTTCAACTCCTTTGTGTTGTCTCTGCGCTGGCATCTCCCCAGGCGCTCTCATCACCTGATAGTCTTGGCTTCCTTAGCCATGTAGTTCAGGTCCAACGAGATGCAACTGGGTCCAGCATCTGCTACCTCCATGCAGCCCACCTGCGACTGCCTCCTCTGGGGAGGGCAGATGTGCCTGGTAAGATTTGTCTGAAGCAGCGGTTAGCTGGCAGTTTCCAGTTGTCACTAGGAGGCAAGGAACTTCTAGTGCTGGTTTTGTGAAACAGCCAGTGCGACGTGAGATGAGAACTCCATTGGCTCATGTGCCTTGGCCACAAGAACTCAAAGCTAATCTGGCTTCAGTTTAGCAGTCAATTAAAAGCATGTTCGGGAACCCCATTTTCTCAGTCACGGTCATGTCCCTGCTGCCACCACAGGGAGCTAGATCCTGTGCTCTCTAGCGCATGGAGTCCCAGGATAAATTATCCCATTCTCCAAAATGCACTGACCCGTGGAAATTGTCTCCCAGCACAAGCTAGTGTCTTAAAGATGGCTGTTTAAGGCTCATGCCCTAAATACTTTATTATGTGGATAGCCATATATGGCACTTTTATTGTCAGAACCGTTAAACAGTAGTCAGTTCTCTCTTGGGCATACATTGGCATGGTGCCCCGTACGCCCAGGTGTCTGCTAGAACCAGGTGACTCTGCTTGGTTGACCGCTTTCCAGTAGGCACAGGTGCTTCTATCTAGTGAGTGATCATCCAGAATTCACACAGGTGGTTCTATCTAGTGAATGATCATCCAGAACTCAACACCTGCAGGTAGTTGAGTCTCATTGCAGCATTCAGCTTGGCCAACCATGAGTGCCTGTCACAGGACTTCTGAGCTGCTCTCTGACTCAGACCAAGTTCATTGCAAAGGCTTTGATTAAAATAAGTCATTTGATCTTGTTTGTCCAGTAGCAACACTTTTGCCTGTACCTGGGTCCTTTTTTCTTCCGCCTCCTTTGGAATTTTTGGCCCATTTACAGTGCAATGGGGTGTCTAGAGCCAGTAATGGAATTATTATATTATATTATATATAGAGGTATACCTATCTCATGGAGCTGAAAGGGACCTTGAGAGGTCGAGTCCAGTCCCCTGCCCTTGTAGCAAGGCCAAGTACCATCCCTGACAGATTTGCCATAGATCCCTAAATGGCCCCCTCAAGGATTGAACTCTCAACTCTGGGTTTAGTAGGCCAGTGCTCAAACCACTGAGCAATCCCTGCCCCCTACAGTTGGGCTAAGAGGGGGAAGTTGTGTGGGAGGAGAAAGGGGGTGTTGAAAATAATTTAGCCCAGATCAAATTAATTGGGAGATCAAAGCAGCCCATGTTTCTTTTTCATACAAATAGACACCCGCTAGCCACGTTGCAAATACCCTGGATTATAAAAAGCCACTCACACCAGAGGGCATTAATGCTATCCTCCCTCCATTTGTGCGCACATGCTCAGGGAGGCATAGGCTGGAGCATAGAAGTTGAAGGCTGCTAATAAGTTTTGATCCGGGGTGTCTACTCTTCTCAGCCTGAGGACCGTCTGTGTCCTTTGTAGCCTCTTGTCATCCGCAGCAGACACCAAGAGGTGGATCAAAACTTGATTTATTGCAGTAACTGGTGTATGTGGCACCTGCCAGCCCCAGTGGGTGTTGGGGTTGCATTGGGCTGGGGGCTAACTAGGGATGTTAAAATGCATTTATTTAGACAAACTGAAAATTTCAGCAGTTACATGGGAGCTGCCTCCCCTTCCTCCCTCTCTCCACGGGAGCTGGCACACATGTAAAAGCCAGCTCCCCACATGTAGCAGCTCCCAACTTCCTTCCCCCCCGCTGGTGCCTTTGATACAGAGGCAACAGCGGTGAGGGGGAGGGAGGGGACACGACTGTGTGTAACCGGGTACACGTTCATATCCCTAGTGCTGACCATGCACACGGTGAGACACAGCCCCTGCCCCGAAGATCTTCCAGTCTGTCTAGACAAGACCAAATGATCCCTGTGTGACAGCGGTGGGACATGGGTACAGGGAAGGAAAGCAACTTGCCCAAGGGGAGGGGTAGATATGTAACGGAGGCTGGAATTGGACCCTGGAATTGGACCATGGTCTCCTGAGTCCCGGGTCAGGCCCTCCAGCACCAGGCGACCCTTTCTCTGCTCGGCAGTGGCGCTCTCTGTCCCCTGTACAGGCAGCGCTGAAGCAGCTCCCAAAGAACAGGGTCCCCAGCATGGCAGTGATGATCAAGACGCTGACACGCACCAACGTGGATGCTGGCGTCGTGTTCAAGGACCCTACCGGTAAGGGAGGAGGTTAACCCTTTGGGGTGAGGGTCACTGAGGCAGGTGAGCAGGGCCAGTGACCAGCGGAACTATAATCAGCAGCTAACAGCTGGCTTGCTTTCAAGTACAAAGATCTAGTTTCTCTGGAAATATGTGTAGTGCCTGCCTGCTGGCTTTCTCTGTGCCCTTGGGGCCTCCCTTGGTCTCCTCTGCCTCCATCACCTTGGTGCCCCCTGCTCTTCTGGACCACACAGATGAGGCATGTCGTGTTCACCTGATCAGTGGCCCATCACCTCTATAGCCTCTGCCTCTAGCTGTGGCCTGTGTTTTTTATTTCTAGCTGTAAAATACACACACACACAGTGTATGTAGGTGGGTTTGGTTCCTTTCTGCTGCCTGCAGCAATCAGCTGCCATCTCTCAAACGTGAGACTCGCTGGTCCCATCTACCTCTGGCCTGCTGCTAGCTGAGAACAGGCCTCTCCACACTGTGTGGAGAGAGGAGCCCCTCATTGGACCTCAGAGAGGGATGTGATCAGCTACGCCCCATCTTCCAGGGGCCAGTACAGGACTGAGCCTGGCAGTGTAGCCACAAGAGGCCACCTCCCTTCCAGGAAGCTGGGCTGGAAACAGCAAGATGAGGCGCATTGAATAAGCAGCCTTGTAGCTTGCCCTCTTGTCCTGATCTCCTTCCCAGGTGGCTTGCTGGCCCTCCCTCTTGGAGACAGCCTGGCTTGGCCCATGCGTAATGGCTGCTGCAGTGCATTGTGCCACAGCGTAGCACTGCTCGGTGTTGGGCTGACCGCATCTGCCCTGTGTTGCTGATGGGTTCTCTGTCCTGTCCACAGGAGAGATGCAGGGGACAGTGCACCGCCTGCTGCTGGAGGAGAGACAGAGTGATCTGAGGCCTGGGTCGGTACTTCTCTTAAAGCAGGTACCTCCAGCAACAGAGATCAGGGCCAGGGTTGGGTACTGAAGGACTCTCGGGTATGTTTTGTTTCTGGAGAGAGACCCTTCTTGCAACAGGAAGTCCTAAAAGCATCCAGTTCTGGGGATGTGGATTTAATAAGGAGCCCGCAGATCCATGTGCTGCTAGGTCACTGATTTGCATCCAGCCCCAGGTGTCTCTTCCTGCTTGTATGGGTAGGAATGGTGTCCCTAGCCTCTGTTTGTCAGAGGCTGGAAATGGGTGACAGGAGGGATCACTTGATTCCTTGTTCTGTTCACTGCCTCTGGGGCACCTGGCACTGGCCACTGTTGGCAGACAGGACACTGGGCTAGATGGACCTGTGGTCTGAGCCGGTATGGCCGTTCTTACGTTAAACACTGGAATAAATTGCCTAGGGAGGTTGAGGAATCTCCATCATTGGAGATTTAAGAGCAGGATAGACCAGGGATGGGCAATAACTTTGGTCAGAGTGGGGGGGACTCCAAGATTTTGGAAAGTGGTCAAGGGCCGCACTCTTCCATGATATGAATGGAGGAGGTGCAGGGTCTGGGATGGAGATTGAGTGCAGAAGGGAGCTTGGGGTAAGGGATTGGGGTGCAGGAGGGAGAATGGAGTCTGAGAGGGAGTTTGGATGAAGGGGAGGTGGTTGTGACCTAGGGTAGGGGACTGGAGTGCAGGGATTTGGGATGTGACCTAGGGTAGGAGGGGATTGTGATCTGGGGCAGGAGATTGGGGTGCCAGATCTGGGTGGGGGGTATGTGTACAAGAGGGGGGCAGAGGGTTTGGGCTGCAAACATCAGAACCCAGAGAGCAAATAAAGACAACGCCCAACAATTATTTGTTACTGTTTCATGATTATGAAGACAAATTTCATGAGTTTCTGAATGGGACAGATGCATATTTTTGAATGGCTGGAGTCAGGGACAAAGCTGTGCTGTATACTAACCCTTCTCACCCCAAAATGATCGTACTTAGCATTTTATAGCAACTATGTTCACCCAAAGTATTGTACGGGCATTAAATAAAATTAACCTTCACAACTCTCCTGAAAAGTAAGTAAGTGTTGTTACGGGGCCTGTCAGCCTGGGGCTCCCTGCTGCCTCCATAAGCCAGATCCACTGGCTTGCTGGACTGTATTATGCCCAGGCCTGGGTTAGACACACACCTGTCAAGGATGGTCTAAATGGTGCTGGGTTCTGCCGTGAGGGCGGGGGACTGGACTGGCTGACCTCTGGAGGTCCCGTCCAGTTCTAGATTCTATGAGTGGGATAGGCAGGGAGAGCTCTTGGTCTTTTCCTACTGGGCAGCCATCCTGTAGGCAATGAACACTTGACCCAGGTTTTCCGCCGTGGGGGTTGGCTGGCCTCAGAGGCCAGTGACTGAATGGGCCGTGGAGCCTGAACTCACCCGGCTGTCCCAAGGGGGTGGGGACGTGTCCCACACTGCCCCTGCTTTGGATTTGGAGTAGCGGTCTCTGGCACTGCCAGTCAGCTGTCACGGAGGCTGGTGAGGCCTGGCGCTTGCACAGCACTCGGGAGCTGCTGAGTCTTCCAGTGGCACCTGCCCGTTGCCTCTCATGGGGTGAGCCACTGGGAACCAGCAGAGTAGCCTGCGTATAGGCGAGTGGCCTTTCGCTCTCATTGCAGGTGGGCGTGTTCTCCCCGTCCCACCGCAATCACTACCTCAACGTGACCCCCAATAACCTGGTGAAGATTTACCTGCCAGAGTCCAGGGACGGGAGCCCTCTGCAGCCTTCACAGGAGCATGGGGAGACGGGCGACAGGCCAATGCCTGTGTCCTTAGAGGTACAGCGCAATGCGGAGCAGAGAGCCGTGCTAGATGGCAGGGATGGGGGGGGTGTCTCCTGTGTGCTATGGGGCCAGCCTGGCCAGGGCTAGGAGTGCTCTGCTAAGAAGCCGAGCCTGGCTAAGGGTTGTCATGGACTCAGGAGGAACGGCTGCCTGGTTCCTGGAGGAGGCTATTTTGAAGGTAGTGTGGGGGAATAGGGAGACTTCAGGAAGTGAGGGTCTCACGCAGTGGTGCTGAGAGCAAACAAAGGGAAAGCTCAGAGCATCTCAGCTGTGTCTGGCTTTTTGTAGGTCCAAAGCCCAGCTGAAGTCCAGCAGGACTTTCCCGCGAATGCTCCCGGGGTCGGGACCACCCCTGGGGATATGAGGTGCTCCAGGAGGGACGGAAACAGCAGGTGGAGTACAGACCCATCGCCTGGGAGGCGACTGCTGCTGGGGAGCCATGGAACAAGCGAAGCAGGGTCAAACGGACCTTCCCAAAAGGAGCCCCTGGGGGTTGAAGCCTGTGACATGGGTAAGGCAGATTCTGCTGTAGATGGTATGGGCCTTGTGCCCCACAGAGCTCCACTTGTTGGGTGCGTGGGGGAGCTGAGCTCTCTTGGAAACTTTGATTCCGGTGGCGGGTTCCAGGTACTCAAGAATCTGGCCCACCCCCCAACTAGCCAGATGCCTTCTGCTGGTCCTGTCGTATTGGGGTCACAGCTACCATTGGTAGGAAGTCATGGAAGAGATGTTAGCTGGTTCCCTTAGTGTCATCTTTTATTTTCCCCTTTCCCAAATGTGTTTAATCCTTACAGAGAGGTGGGCTCATATATTTGGCACTTTAACTCCTGGGGCAAAAGGTTTAATCCCCCAGTAACAGGGACTAGATGCCCCCGGGGATTAAATGGGCAACTTTCAGAGGAGGTGGGAGAAACGGACTTGAGCCCCTATTCTCCCATCTGCGCAGATGACCTGGACGGGCTCCTAGGACAGTTGCCGGAGGACTTCTTCTCTGCTTCGGGCATGGAGAGCAGCTGGTGACCTCTCTGGAGTGCCGGCGAGGCGCTGATTCCCCCAGATGGATGCTCAGCCAGCGGCAGAACCCCAGTGTCACGGCAGAGCAAGGACTCTGACCAGTGAGGTGACGCTTGTGTCTGCACAGGGCTCTGAACGGCAGGTGCGTTCTGTGGCTGAAAGCCATGATGACGGGACCCTGCTGACAGATAGTCTGGGGCTCCCGTTCGCAAAAGGGGCGATGCCGGCAGCCCTGACAGGGAACGATGCCTGCCTTGCTACCTTGGGCAGCAGCAGCCTCGCAGTCTGTGCATGGAGCCCTTGAGGGGTCGCTACCTGCGAGTGACACAGCTTTCCCCTCCAGTAGCCGAGTCCTGCATTAAATGGGTGTTTGGGACTTTAACGTGTGACGCTCTTTCTTTGGCTGCCCAGCCTCCTCCACTTTGATTTCCTGCAGAGCCAGCCTGCCTCCTCGCCGGGGGAGCATGGGGCTGTGTGGGGAGCCGCGGAGGCTTGTGTTAAACTGGAGTTTGTCTCCTTCTAAAGCATTTCCTTGAAGCTGGCTGGCTCGCTCCTGCAACGTGCCTGTTGGCCTCACTGGGGACTGACACATGCAAGGGCTGCGTGATCCAGCCTGCGACGGGAGAGGAGCTGCTGATGAGGGCGACAGAGTCCTGGATATTGGAGTCCGATCCTCGCCCCCGCAGAGCAACCGAAACTCCCATCCGAGTCACTGAGTATCAAAGGGAGCTCAGTACCTTTTCAGGAACAGGCCCGCGGCTCCCCACAGACAAAGGCTTGTGTCCAGTGCAGCTGTGTGGGCGTCGTTCTCAGCTGGGCACTGGGATGGCAGCCAGGGCCAGCCGGAATCCCTACGCTGTGCTTGAGATGGTGACGGCTGCACTCATGTCCGGGCCAAACTTTTACCAACTGCCTGGCTCCCTGCTGATCTAGCGCTGTTCTGGGGAAGCTTCCCAGGCTCTGATCTTCGAGAGATGCGCTTGTGTTATAAAAGAAAATCAAATCTCTCAAGGTGATGCAGAAGGCACCATCCCTAATAGTGAGCAGACGGTGTTTTCCCTTCACAGGAGTCATCCAGGGTACAAATTCTCCAGCCTGAATTCTGCGCTCTTCTATTCTGAGTTTGGTCTCAGCTGGGGCAGTTGGAGGACACTGCCCAGCTAGGAGAAGGAGCAATTCCTGGCTCCGGAGAGCTGATATTGAGAAGGCCTCAGGGCCTAAGTCTGCTGTTTGTCGGCACCACTCAGAACTGGGCCCTGAGTCAAGACAAAGTAACTACAGCAGGTGCCTGGGGGCTGCGGTGCGGTTAGGCAAGGAAAGGGAGGCAGCATTCCTCGCCCAGCATTACACCTTTCATCCCATAACAGGGGTGATGAGTGCACTCAATGTTACAGGTCCTTCCCACCCCCCCTTGTGGACTCAGCCCCATTGTGCTGTGGGGTGTAGGTAGGGACAGCCCTGCTCCCCACTCAAGAGCCAAGAAATAGTTAACGCTGCATATCTGCCAAGAAATTCCCCCTTAGCTGCTGTAGGTTTGTTCTACCCAATGCATTCTCCAAAGCTTTATCCTGCCTGAAAGCACCCTGAGCTATTTACTTTCCACTGCTTCCTCTTCCACGGCCTAGCACGTCTCATTAGTAGCAAGCATTTTTCACTTGTACAGTGTATTAATACTCAGCTCGCAGTCCTCAGAGCCCTTTACGAAGAAGGACAGTATCGTTAGCCCCACTTTACAGGTGGTGAAACTGAGGCCCAGAGGACAGTGCCAAAACTCACCCCACAGAGCTGAGAATAGAACTAGGGCTGCATCTCAGTAACCCCCCATGAGCTGGGTTACAGCGTTACTGAGCCGAGACGATAGGCCTGCCTCCCCTCGGCCTGCCGTCGCAAGTCAGCAGCCCTGCCTGGCTCTGGTGTGCCAAAGGCACAAGTTCATTTCTGTCACTTGCCTCTGAAGTCTTGCCCCTTTGCCGGTCCCTGCCTGAGTCTGCAGAGAGCCTGCAACGATCCCTCAGAGAGACGCCTCCTCTGTGAGTGTCACTTGGGTCTAAATCCAAGACTCGAAGAGCCCAGTAGATCTGCCCCAGTGGCTTGGGTAAGAAGCGGGGGCCCGACGAGCACACCTCCCTCGAAGGGAGAAGCTGGCAGACCCTGGCATCCTCTTCAGAGCAGGCAGGGGCTTCCGAGGCCGGCCCATGGCATGCTGTGTCTAAAGGAATTGACCGCTGTATGCCGCCCCGTCTTCGTCACAGGTCTCCTCTATGGAAAAACTCCTGTGCCGCTTCCCTGGGCTGGATTTGTGCCACAGGCAAGTGCCAGTTGTTCGAGCCCCCCGGCCAGCCTCTTGGGATGAGGGAGTCGAGCCCTTCCATGGGACCCCACGCCACCCTCCCGCCTCCAAGAACACCCAGCAAGGAGTCCATCTCTCTCCCCCAGCAAGGGAGATGGCGTGGTGGCAGCTTCAGGCTCTTCGCTGTGGCCGTCACACCACTCCTGCAGTGGAGAAACCACCAGCTCCAGCACTGTCAGTCTGGCCCCACCTGCACTCAGTTGATGGACAACATGCAAGCGCAAACGAGGGGCCAAATTAGCATGATGTATTGTCTGTTTGCAGTAGCACCTAGCGGCCCTAGTCCTGGGCCAAACCCTCAGAGGTTGGGAAAACACAGAATCAGAAAGCTGGCGTCTGCCCCCCGAGAGCTCCCAAGCCAAATCTAAGACCAGAGATTCCAGGAGCGGACGGTATGAGGGCGGCACGAGGAAGCCAGAAGCGATACTGGTCAGCATGATGGGCAGTGGTCTCAGCTGCCTCTTTGGGGTCCCGGTTGTTGCAGGTCTTATAGCCAAGGCGCAATGAAACAAGTAGAAGGGCACTCTGTGCGCGCCCGCCTCAGGAGCTTCCATTCCTGTGGCTCGCTCTCCGCCAGCGTTGTCAGTGGCTGTAACTGACAAGCAGGCCCCTCCGGGCTCTGTTTATTCTGCCACGATGAGCAGGTGTCCCCGGTTTGCTTAGACGCCTGCCACTAACAGCTCAACACCCCTGGCCCCGGATAGAACATGACACTGCACAAACATCTGTTTACTGCCGTGGTAAATAGCCCCTCTATTTATAGCATGGCCTGGCTTGCTCTCGGTCGCCAAGGGGAGGGGTTCCCTCCTCATACCCGTATTTATAAGTCTGAGTGAGGTGGCAGGGGGCACTTCCCCCTCCATCTGTCTGCTCCACAGAGAAGGAGGCTGCCCTGGCTAAGCCGAGAGGATGTCAGGAGAGACCTTTGCGTTCACGTCCTCCACCCTGCGCTCGCTGCGCCTGCAGAGAGAGCGGCTGGAGTGGGAGGACCGGCGGCGGGCTCTCTCTAGGCAGTGCCTTAGCAGGAGGTTCCCGCCGGCCACCAGGAGCCCCCTGCTCCTCCCCAAGCCGGCGCGGCGTCCCCAGTACTGCCGGGACCCTGCTGTCCACAACGTCCTGTACACCGGGGACCTGCAGACCATAAAGAACATCTTCAAGGACGAGGCCATGGCCAACGTGATCGTGGAGACGGTCAGCGAGGAGCTGCTGTGGTCGGCGGAGCTAGGTACAGAGTGAGGCGTGGGGGGGCAGGACGAGAGTTTCTGGTCCGGGCTTGTGGTTGGAACAAACACAGGGAGAAGAGCTG